GTATTCTGTAATTATATACTTAAAAATTAAGGTTTTTTGTAAAGTATATACCTACTGAAAAACCCTATTTATTTTTTTATTTATAATGTCAGAATAACAGGCAACAGACAAAAAAACAATAAAGTAAAAGAAATGAAAAACTGTGGGCCTGCCTGCCAGCATTTACACACATAAATAGACATTGAACAAAAATTTAATCATAAAAAAAGAAAAAATCATAATGTGCTTTGTAAGTTGCGACGAAAACAAATGATTTTACTTTACGGAACCCTGCTAGAGTGATGCCAGACTCACGCTTGGCCAGTTTTTTAGCTTTCCGGCTGGCTTCTATTTTTGGCGTACCCTTGTTGCATATTGGTGTTGGCGATATTATCTTCACTACCACAAAGAAAAACATTTAACTACATTGCGTTCATTTGCATTGATAAATGAACATAAGTAACGGTGAATTGTTTTTCTAGAAACCTTTCGCAAAATCAATAGACCGTTGCAATTCGTTAAAAAAAAACAATAAGTTACATGTAAAATAGGCAGATAAAAAAATACATTGGTAAGTACCTAACCTGGTTAAAAAAATCTATTCATTCATTCGAATATCGTATAAAATAATAAAGTGTTGGCGTGATTTACTGCGATTATGATAACTTCGCATTTCAGCTTAGGTGCTGTTAATCGCAATATTAGGTTTACTGTATAGAACATACGGCAAAAATCAGAGCTAAAAGCTGCTTTGGGACGCGATAATTTAACGCAATTACTCATTTGTTCTTGTTCTCTCTATTGCAAATAAAGAAACAGTTGCAGACGATCAATCGTTTCAGCATTGGAAGCTCAACTCTTTCCTGTAAAAAATACGGCTCATAATTCGTTAACACTATAATCTCGTTAAAGGAATGCCCAAGACTTCCTCTCCAATACTTTATTAACTTCATAAGCGCTCTGATTCGTGCAATGAAACTTGAATGAAAGCAATTATGTAGCTCAAGTGGTTACAGTGCAGACATCTGCCCTTATAATCCCGTTCACATTATATTTGTTAATTTTGCATAACATCATAAATTCTATGGTAAGAAATTGGTTATAAATATTCAAGTACATAGCTAGATTGCCTGGTAAGGTCACTTTAAGCACTTTCATGCTATTGACATTCCGGTAGTTATTAGGTGTTCGAATTCTACCAGGGTTTATTATTAAAGTGATAAGTAGGTAGATAATAGGTACAACTTACAACCTTATCCACATTAATCGTGCTAGGTACCTTTTATTTGAATTATAGAAGTTGCTACTGAAAACCCCATACGAGAAGTCTTATTTTTAACCCACTTCAAAGGAGGAGGAGATTCTCGATATACTCGTAACTTCCTACTTGCATCTATATACAGTGTTCCTTTTTTATGTACCATGACTGTTCCGTTATTTTAAGTTGACTTTAAGAGTACTTATGAGTCAAATTTGTCGGCAGATGAGTTGCTTTGCAATAGAAAGTTTAGAATAACTATATCAAGAGTGTAAACTACAATACAAATTGATATTATGCAATTTGATTTTTCTTTGTTGTCATGCAATAAATGATCGCTAGCGGATCGCTCAGTACTTAATATTGCTACGTGTCGGGATGGGGTTCAAAATTTGTAACAATATAGTAGTAACTAGGGAGGTATTTATGTAATTGATTTTACATGAATCATATTTAGTAAAATAAAACAACATGTGTTAATCTTATTAGCCATTTGATGGTGGGAAAGCAGCACTATGGTGTTATGTTATTACCTGTCAAGATTACGAACTACTTACGTGTTGGAATGCTTCTCGACTATTATGTTATGTTTGAAATTGATCGGTTTCTATGGCTTGCTTTGGAAATAGGTACCTGCCTACCTAGAGAAGCGGGTAACTGTGATTTAGAGATTTGCTCTCCATCGGGGCTATTATTAGCTGTGTAGCTTCAAAAGAGGTTTAGAAACTTAAATTGGATTTTTTTTAAATAAAGCCGGTCAATTTAACAAATCAGTGCTCCCAAGCTAAAGTGAGAATACAAAAAAGACATTAGTAGAATGAGTAAATGATTTAATAACGGACACATCTAAGTTGTCCTTTGGTCCATGTCTTAATCGTTTTCCGTAGCCAGCTATGAAAGCAGGCAATTAAGATAGGGCAGTGGTAATTACAGGTAGGGCATAAATGTTGGCGTTCCACTCTTTGCAGCCTGCTGCCTCGTTTTAAGGTAGGGCATTGCTCATAATGCCCTCAACTGGCTACGGCCCTGTATGAATGAAAAATTTTCATTCAATTTTGCCTAACTGATTATTTAGAAGTTAGTATATCCGGAAGACTAGTGGCAGGCTTTGATTCTGTCACTGCATTTTCCGAATAACTAACAACATCGAACTAACCCATGCCAATTTGACATCGTTAAGTACGAGTACCTAGTTATAGATATTCTGCAAATTGATATCTTTAGAAGTCTTGGATTTGATAAAAGTCCAGTCGAAATAATATTTGTAATTAATAATAACTTTCTTACAAAACAGGGCATGGCGGAGCACTACATAAATTAAACGTGAATATGCAATGATACTAAAGGTTGTGAATAACTCATTAACTCGGTAACTTTTCGCAGCCAGCTTTCATAAACTAACATTTCTACCCGAACTGCGCGACGAATAGAGAAGGTATAATAAATATATATTTACAACATTAAGACGATTAGACGATATGCGCAAATCATTTTCCGAATTAAGAGCAAGCCTTAAAAATCGCATAAGCAAGGCTTATCAATCCTATACGAAACGTATTGAGAGTAATCTCAAAAACAAACCTCAACAGTTCTGGCAATATGTTACTAACCTTAGGTCAAATGCAGCATTCGAACCTGAAATATCTTACAATAATATTCCCTATAGCGGAGCAGGAGCAGCTCAAGCTTTTGCTGAGTTCTTTTCTAGTGTATTTTTACCTGGAAATCCTATCTTAGATGCCAATAATACAATGGCGACAACTAGTCCATTAAACACTGCTTACATAAATATCTTAAACATTAATGAGGATGACGTTAAACGAGCAATCAATAAAATAAAAGTGGATAGTTCTTCCGGACCTGATTCTGTTCCACCCTTGTTTCTTAAAATGTTTAAGGATTATTTGATTCCCCCTTTATGCCATATTATAAATACAGCAATCTATACAGGTGAGTACCCCGCTCAGTGGAAAATATCACGGGTGACGCCTATCCCAAAGTCAACCACCAAGTCTACTGTCGAGGATTATCGTCCTATAGCAGTGTTACCTGCTCCTGCAAAATTATTCGAACGTATTATTCACAACGAAATATATAACCAAATCAACCTATACCTTTGCAACGAACAACATGGTTTTAGGAAAGGAAAGTCGGTCGATTCCAATTTGTTAACAATAGTAGATTACATCTCAAAAAGTCTGGACAATGGATCTGAAGTCGACGTTGTATATTTTGATTATCAAAAAGCTTTTGATCGGGTCGATAATGATATTCTCCTGGGAAAACTTAAAAGTATTGGTTTTGCTCCGCGGCTCCTTCATTTAATTTCAAACTTCCTTCGAGAGCGCCAACAATTTGTAAAATATGGGTGCTACACGTCTAGGCCTTACCATACACGTTCTGGAGTCAGTCAAAAGGGTTCAATACTAGGTCCGCTTCTATTCTTGATCATAATGAATGATCTCCCCACAGTCATTAAGAATGCAAAATGTGTTATGTACGCTGACGACTTAAAGTTGGCATTGGAAATAAAAGCTGAGTCAGACTGTGAACTACTACAAAATGATATAAACTCAGTATCTGAATGGAGTAGAGTAAACAAAATGCTTTTTAATGTAGGAAAATGCTGCGTCATGACCTTCGGAAGAAAGATGACAAAAACGCGTCATCAATATACACTGAATGATCAAGATATTATGCGTGTGGAATCAACCAAGGATCTAGGAGTAATATTTGATACCAAAGTTACGTTTCACAATCATATAATATCTCTGGTAAAAGAATCTTTTAGACGTCTCGGTTTTGTTCTTCGAAATTGTCGCGATTTTAAGAACCCGCAATTAATTAAAATTCTTTACTATGCACTTGTTCGCAATAAACTTGAAGCCGCGAGTTGCGTGTGGCACCCCCACGAAAGCACATATACCCTGTTGCTGGAGAAAGTTCAGAAGGCATTTCTAAGATATCTTTATAAACGCATTTATACTTTTTACCCATACCTTTACCCAACTGTATTTCTCTTAGGCACTCTTGGCTTAAATTCTCATAGAGCGCGTAGGACAAGGAACCAACTATCGATTGGCATCAAAATAATCCGTGGTATTATGAATGCTCACACAATGAACTTACTTAGTCGGTTGTACGTTCCTGACCGATATACGCGGCACCGACTTAACCATCCGCGTCGTCTCTTCGCACCACCGTTTGCCCGCACTGTTACCCGCGCTCAATCTCCTCTTTGTCGCATTATGACTGAACTTAATGCGCTCCTGGCTGATAAGCCTGAGTGTGATGTGTATGCAGATGGATGGAATAAAATAATGTATGACTGCCTATTGTTTTGCGAGAAAAATGAGTGTGAATCTTCATGTTTGTAATTCTTTGTTTTCTTTTTTTTTTACTAATTGCTGTAAATGGTATTTTGCCGTAGTAATTAGAATAAATAAATAAAATAAACATTCACACCAATTAGCCTAACCCCAAAGTAAGCACTGTAAGGCATGTGTTATGGGATGCCTAGGGTAACGGATAGAAATACATATTTAACATCCATGACTGGAGTACAAATGCTCTTAATCATCACATAAACATCAGCCTCCATCGGGATTCGAACCCGGGACCTCTCGAGTCGGCGACACCATGAAACCCGGCGTACAAACCACTCGGCCATGGAGGTCGTCGAACTGGTATTTTGTTTATCAGCCTTTATATTTTCATATTGCATTAAGGTGTATTTTAACTTAGCAATTATTCTTACTTTCAGACGAAGTGCGCACGGGCACGTACCGCCAGCTGTTCCATCCTGAGCAGCTGATTACCGGTAAGGAGGACGCGGCGAACAACTATGCGCGAGGACACTATACCATCGGCAAGGAGATCGTCGACGTGGTGCTGGATCGCATCAGGAAGCTGGCTGATCAGTGCACGGGCTTGCAGGTCAGTGTGATTCGCTTGCTGTGGGCGTAGCTAGGGATTTTTGCTAAGCGGGGCAGCCGTCCAATTGTACTTCCACTCATTGTGACATTATTTTTTAAATCGTTTGAAACTCGAATTCCAACGTCAAGGACAGAAACATAGATAAATCATTGGGCTTCCTTCGTCGAAGCGAGACCAATCATTCATCTAGACTGGCATTGTATTTTATTATTGTATAACTCATATGAAAATCCTATCCTAGTAGGATTAATTTGGGATAGCGTGTTTAAATTCCAGCTCATCGAAAGTACCTATTCGCTAAACATCTTTTACTCTTTGTAACTCATATTTAAACATAGTTTAAATCGGCTGAAAATACTGTGAGTATTAAGGTAATTACCTGTTATTACATATTTCAATATCCTATATGAAATAGTAGAATAAAAAAATCTTACAAAATGTAGGCTGGACGTCATTGCTCTATCATTCAGCAGACATCATTACCGTCTCGCTTATCAAACTCCTAATCAACATGTTGTTTGCAGGGTTTCCTGGTGTTCCACTCGTTCGGTGGCGGAACCGGGTCCGGCTTCACATCGCTGCTGATGGAGCGCTTGTCCGTCGACTACGGCAAAAAATCCAAGCTGGAGTTTTCCATTTACCCAGCACCACAGGTATAAACCTTTATTAATAACCTTTACAAACACATAAATTGACAGCTGGATCTAATCTAGGACAAAAATAAGATTATGTATAAGGACTTTGTTGTATTGTTATTTTAAGCTGCAAGATTTATAAATAGGTACCTATACGAAAATTTAACTAGAAAAAAATCGAATCTATCCAAGTATCACGCAGGTTTCTTGGGAACTTCTTCTCAGTGCGTACATACATCTTGTTAAATGTAGGTTAATACGAGAATCTTATCTATGATTCCAGGTGTCGACAGCGGTGGTGGAGCCCTACAATTCGATCCTGACCACGCACACCACCCTGGAGCACTCGGACTGCGCCTTCATGGTGGACAATGAGGCCATTTACGACATCTGTCGCAGGAACCTCGACATCGAGCGCCCCACATACACCAACCTCAACAGGCTCATCGGCCAGGTAACGACATACGTCGAACTAATTGGCTGATAGGAAAACCTTTAGAGAAACTGAAGAGAAGTCGACTTACTGCACCGATTCTAATTTCATCTTCAGGAAACAAAAACAAACACTCTTAGACAAGTAGTGAACTTGGAGATTCTTTTACGTTCTGGGAAGATTTGCTAATTTAAAACTGAATTTGAGAGCGGTCTTTCCTTTTTAATCTCTATAGAGTGTGACAAGGATATACTGCTGTCAAGTAACATTTTAGGTTCAGAGAATCATGCTAGAATGCTGCTACAGCCGAATACATTTCTTACTGTTATTCGATTAAACTCTTGCTATTAAGCAGAGAACATGGATGCCACTCTTTCTTTTGATCTATGTTCCTAGAGAATGTTCTCGCTCTCAACCTCTCGTCTGTGAGGCATGTCAAGTGAACCAATATGCCCTGTCTGTCGTAATAGCTGAATTCAGCACCTTACATACAAAGAATTAAAGAAGTTCTATGACCTTATGCGATATAACCACTATGTCTTCCAGATCGTGTCATCCATCACGGCGTCGCTGCGGTTCGACGGCGCGCTCAATGTGGACTTGACGGAGTTTCAGACCAACCTGGTGCCATACCCTCGCATCCACTTCCCGCTGGCCACGTACGCGCCCGTCATCTCCGCGGAGAAGGCCTACCACGAGCAGCTCACTGTCGCCGAGATCACCAACGCGTGCTTCGAGCCCGCCAACCAGGTCGGTATATAAAGTGATCGATTATCGATGTTTCGTAAACTTCGTCGTATCTTAGCCTTCTCTATGGCATAAAAAACTAATAAAGTTAGAGTCATCTCCGTGGAGAAGACTTACCACGTGTAACTTATCGTCGCTGAAGATCATCAGCGCTTGCTTCGAGCCCGCTCAGGTCAGATTATAAAGGGCTCGATGAAAATAGGTACTCTTATCGTTTGTCGTGTCTACACGGATATCTTGAAGCAGTCACGATAGACTGCTTTCAGCTGAGACTGCATAATGAATTGCAGTCTTTTACCTACAAACATACACGGAACCAGTCGAGCAGTTGCGACTGCTTTGGGCAGTAGGCTGCACGGTGAAATGAAATCTTTAGGCTGATAACACTGACAGCAAGAGCGGTCCTTGTATATTGATCACTGGCTAACTGCTTGAGCAGATAGTCTTTTTGTACGGCATTAAAAACTAAGAAAGTTAGAGATATCTCCGCGGTGAAGACCTACCACAAGCACCTGCCTTCGAGCCCGCTAACCAGGTAAGAATAGAAGAAAGAAAGAATAAAAACCGATTTTGCTAATTGTCGTACCTCAGTTCTAAAGTCTAGAGAACAAAACACAGCATTAATTGTGATTACCAACGCGAGCTTCGAGCCCGCTGCGGACAATAAGCCTTCAAACTAAATAATACTCTCATACCTACATGACGTATATATCAGAATACTTTTATTTACAGATGGTGAAATGCGACCCCCGCCACGGTAAATACATGGCATGCTGCATGTTATACAGGTGAGATCGTTGATTTATTTATGAAATTAGAGTTATCCGTGTTTATAATGATAATTTTAGATATTGCCGCCATGTAAACCATGCGAAAAATGTGATAAGATACCTACCTACGCAATGTGCACAACCAACTACGCGCACTGGCTCCGGCTCATGCATTTCGCTGTTTTTGTCGGCTCGTTTCGATATGATTATTTTTTTTTTTACGGAAGGCATGCACACTCAAACACACACACACACACGCTACACCAAACACTTACGTACACACTCATTTACACAAAGTTAGTTATCATGCTCCTTTTATAATTCTGATTTATATAGGTATTTATATTTATCGCAAAATTAATTTGAATCTTTGTTGGTATTTCTTTTATATTATTGTTAATTTGTAATTTCTACCCTACGTTATCATTTTAATTTTTAAATTGAATACAAAGTGAGTTTCTGTAATTGGCTAAAGTACCGTTTAAAATTTTATATTAGATTATATTGTGTAAAACGCTGTTGAAACTTGTTGATGATAAATAAATAAAAAAAAAAAAACCTATTCATATTGCATAGTAATTGTTTGCTTAGTTTCATAAACCAACGAATGAGAGGCTTAATTCAATATTAATAGAATATTTTACATGATGGGACCATTCCCATCTGACAATTTATTCTTGTACCAGGTAGTGTTTCTAGACTAAGTAAGATTTCCTATTCTCCACGGGTAGGGACTCCACTCAGAGAAGAAAACCAACGCGTAGATACTGAAATGTATTGCGTCTTCTTTATAGGTTATCATGCCATTAGACGGACCGAATGCTAAGTAAAATCGCCACCTCTTTTCCACATAATAAAGTGTAATGTTTTTAGAATTTATCAATCATTTTCTTTGTGCAGAGGCGACGTGGTACCAAAAGACGTGAATGCCGCTATTGCCACTATCAAGACCAAGAGAACTATACAATTCGTCGACTGGTGTCCCACCGGTTTCAAGGTATTTAGGTTACTTAGCTCGGGAAGCTTATGGTCATATCGCGATACCGCATGAACAACAATTTATGTGATGGACTGTGTTTACACTTATGCAGGGCTACGCGGAGCTGTGCAGTCTTAGGCCCGTATTATGGAAAGATTCTAAACGAACGCTTTTCTAGTCAAGCATAAACAATAGAGCAACATGCGACCGCAACGTGACTGAGTTTCCGATTCACTTTTTCATATAAAACGTAAACCGAAGATTTTTTCCTCGTACTTACCTTAGTTTAACCACAAACACCGCGACACGAGAATTTTATATATTAGATTGACGTTTCGCAGCCTTTACAGGCTGCGTCGTCGGAATATTTTTTTTATTTAAACTATTTAATTTATTATGTATTGCGTGAAAAACTAGTTTTATTTAATGAGTGATGTGCGTGAAAACCTATCAAACAAATTAGGTAATAATAGTTGTTTTATATGGCATAGGTGGGAATCAACTACCAACCTCCCACGGTGGTGCCGGGCGGAGACCTCGCCAAGGTGCAGCGCGCCGTCTGCATGCTGTCCAACACCACAGCCATCGCCGAGGCCTGGGCCAGGTATACTACAACTATGATAGTGCAATTCAAACTTTACAGTGGCGCGGTGAAGTAAGCTGCCATTAAAACTTTCGCTATTAAACTGCGACAGGTCCGGATTTAAGGCAGAACAGGCGGAGCTGTGGCCTCCGGACTGCCATAACACAGATAATAAAAATCGTAAACGAACCACCGCGTTAGGGGCCTCCACGCCTTCGTTGTCCATACTTTTAAAACCGGTCCTGTGCTGCTATGCATATAAACACAGAGGGTAGAAGGGTGGTCATAGACCGTTTGTACGGGAACCGATGTTGCCGGCTCGCCCCGACTGCACAACCACGCGGCGCAGCTAGTAATAACATATAAGAGCAAATTGGTTGAATATATTTTATAAATAACCTGCTATCCTTATTTCTCGTCTTAGAGATCGAATTTCAAAAAATATGGAATGTTTTTTTTTTTTAGGTTTCAGGTAAGTTTATCTAAGCCAAGTTTCAAAGCTGTCAAGCCAGCCAAACTCGTTTTCCCATACAAACTTTGAACCCTTATATCACCCAATTCACGGTGGAATATTCAAAAATCCTTTCTCGCTTGATGCCTACGTCATTTAAATAACCTAAGTATTTATTAAATATCATGTCTCTACGACCAAAGTTTAGGTCACTTCAACATCTATCTTTGCTTTATGAGGGTAATTTTGAAAACTTAAAACACAGATAGCATTTTTATTTTAAACAGAATAAGTAAGTAGGTGTGCAAACTTTTAATCAATCCTATGCACTTTTGGATGATCTCCCATACAAACTTTGACAGGAAATTTTGTAATTGTAAATTTTTTTTGAGGGAAAGAGATTTTGATTAAATAATGTTTATGCAAAATTTGCAGTCAGTATGTCCATGGGATAAGATTTTGCGAACAAATGTTTTTTGCAAATTTCACGCTTAAGACGCTGAATTTCAAAAAATACCATATTATTACTTGTCTTGGCAATAATAGGAACCTACTGGCCAAATTTCATCATTTTAGGTCCAGCCGTTTCGGCTGTGCTTTGATGAGTCAGTCAGTCTGTCAGTGTATCCTTTTCTCTCTTTATATAATAGTGTTGATTAAGTTTTAATAGTGCGCTGTCTAGTTAGACTCATAGTTACGATATCGCACGCGAAGATTGGCAACAATCTAACCCTAAATCTTCGTCAGGTTGGACCACAAATTCGACCTGATGTACGCGAAGCGCGCGTTTGTCCACTGGTACGTCGGCGAGGGTATGGAAGAGGGGGAGTTTTCGGAGGCGCGCGAAGATCTGGCGGCCCTCGAGAAAGACTACGAGGAAGTCGGCGTCGACTCCACTGAAGGCGAGCTGGATGAAGAAAACGAGTACTAGAAGCACTACTGGAGGCGGTGTGGTACTGAGAACTGACGTCATACAGTACAGAGAAGTTGAGAACTAGTACCGATTCAGAGCAGCGCCACATTGAGCCACTAAACTCGACCACTAGTGGTTCGAGCAAGCGCACATTGGTGTCGATTCTGGCATGATTCTCTAAACTAAAAACTACATTTAAGATCAGTCTTTCCTTTTCATTTTTTATAGGGAATGGCAAGGATACTCTTGTCAAATTTAAGTTTAGGTTTAGAAAATCTGGCAGATTCTCTTAACCTAAATCTTATTAATCGCGGCCTTTAAACGCCACTAACAGCTTAATGGCGACCACTCGAACGCTTAGTTTGCGCCAATACCACAGATTTCTCATACTTATATAAAAGTTGCTACCGATACTATACAATATTTATGAAAAATTCGACCGCTGTTTTGGACGCGTTCAGTGGCCGCCACTAGTGGCTCAATGTGCAGTGCTCTTAGTACTGAAATCTGACGTCATACAAGTACTGAGTAGATATAGGTAGCGGCAAAGTTACTTCGCTAAACCGCAGACAACGGATATTGGTGTAGCTAAGGATTTTTCTTATCGGTCCTGTTGAACACGTTCATTCAAAAACATTTTTAAACTGTATAGGCATTTTACAATACTCTAACCTAATCCTGAAGAATGGACAGTTTCTAGGGTGAGGATTGCCCACCTCTGACCCCCCATAGCTACGCCCATGATAACGGAGTCCACAAAACGTCTACTGCGCAAGTTTATTTGTTTGTGGTTCGCTCCAGAAGTTTGCCGCTACCTATAAGTACTTAACTTGGGTACTTAAAGATATGTACACTAGTAAGTGTAACGCCCGTACTCAGATACACCATTTAACTTTTAAATTTGATTAAGGATAATACTGTTTCTCTAGTTGCGAAGACGTGTGGTGACAACATTAAAATAAGTAGATTACGAGTATAACAGTCATGACTTTAAATTTATTTGAGGTCTGAGTACTCAGTCGGAGAGTTTTCTGAACATCCCTGATATAAATATATAAAAACTAGGCAAGTATTTGTAATAATTCGATTGATTCTATTCATCGGCGACTTATTATTACATAATAACAACTGATTTAATGTTGATGTTTTTAAATTAATCGTTTTGACCGATATGCGAGGTCAATTTGGCAATTAAAAACTATTATATAGTATAACATTTAAGGGAAAGTGAGCTTGTGTATGAGGTGGCTAACAGTACAAACTTTTGAAAATTTAATTTCATAATTTGAAATGGCAAGTTTGAACCACTGTGTAAAGGTGATTTGTTTGTTCGCTAGATAACTACCTAATGTTTTCATGCATTTATTAATTATAAAAAAAAATCGTGATAATAAAATCTAACATTCGTATTAATCGAATTTAGGGCTAGTTTACGTTATATCATATAATACAAAATAAGCTAACTTATTATGGAAATTTTATTTTTACGCTTCTTGTGATGAAGAGATTTTATACGATCGAGTATAATTTATTTTTAATGCACAATAAATTTTTTACACTTTAATTGTATTGTTTTATTGGAAAATAAATGTTGGGGTACGAAACATTGAAAACAAGGAGGAGCTCGATCGTTTAGTGGTAAGTGCGTTCGTTCTGCGATCGTGGAAATTGAGCAACTTTCGTAATGGTCGTTCAGGGATGGGTGACCAAAAATTTATTAACCCATCTTTATGTGTTCCAATGTACAGAAGAACTGTAGTCGACCTCAATAGCCGAGTGGTGTGTATGTACGCAGTTTCAAGGTGACGCCTACTCGAAATGTCCTGGGTTCGAATACCGGTGGGGGCAGATGTTTGTGCGCTGAATACGAGCATTTTTACTCCAGTCATGGATGTTTTATATATAAATATACTAATATATGTATCAATATATGTATTCTATCCGTTATTCTAGTATCCCATAACACAAGTCTACAGTGCTTACTTTGGGGCTAGGCTAATAAGTGCGATTGTTGGAAATATTTATTTATTTATGGCTGCGTTGTCTGTATAGCCTAGCGTTCTCACAATTCTGTTTATAGGACGCCCATAGGAATGGACATTATTAGGCTGATGTGATGATGAACAATAAAAATGCGATTGTTTTAATCTGAATACCATTTATTGGTACAAAAGTTATTTCTTATTATGAATATACTTTCTTAATATAAAACAAGTCTATTTCGAAATAACACATAATATAATATTAACAAATATTTACACATTTTAAACTTTGTAGAGGTTACAAAGTAAATACCTTTAGTTTCAAAAATAAATAGAAAATGAGGAAAGTCCTGTATACAACCTTAAAATGCTCACAAACATAAAAATCATGCTTACACAAGCCAGTGATATAAATACAGCCTCAATAAGAAGGCTTCACATTCGGCATCACATAATCACATCCAAATATTACATTAATTGCGTTCATAACACGGTTTTTGTGAAATATTTACAGTTCCAGTATATAGTATATCTTAATATAATTAATATAAATCTCGTGTCACAATGTTTGTCCTCAATGGACTCCTAAACCACTGAACCGATTATAATAAAATTCGCACACCATGTGCAGTTCGATCCAACTTGAGAGATAGGATAGTTTAAATCTCAAATTATAGTCGCAATTTTAATTTATTGCAAATTATTACTTTTGGGCGGTACGAAGTTCGCCGAGTCAGCTAGTATACTATATACTTTGATGTGGTCGTGACTGTACATTTCGAGATCTCTAGTACATTTTTGTGTCACAATCTTACGCCGCCACTTCACTTGGCTATTCGTGTTCGCTATTTGTAAATATGACATCTGTCTTTCCTTCTCATTCCTTATAAAGCAGTATGATATTCCCTATAAAGCAGTATATACCTTATATGATATACGTACCTTTTATTTTTGGTAAAGAAATTGCATGTTTTTATGTAGCCATTAATACCAACATTGTGAACATTGTGATTAAGGTAAGAAATAAAGGTTATTATTATCATTATTATTATAAAGACAGACTGCTGTCGAGTTTACAAATAGCAAACACGAATAGCCAAGTGCAATGCCGACATTACACTCTGAATGCGTAATATGAACTCACGGCCCCAGGAAAGTCAAGTTCTTAGAAAGAGACATCCCATATATACAGTAATGCATGATCTAGCTTCGACAGCTGTTTTTGCCTGGCGTGAATAGTTCATAATACGCTCACAGACCTCTATTCACATATGTAACCTCTAAAGTAAGGCAGGAACAATAAAGATTTTTTTTGCCAGTCAGTTTTATATTATAAGCGAAACCAACGGGCGTTGTCCTATACAATTGCAGCACCATCTATCTACAGAAACCAAAAAACTTTATAATTAGATCAATTTAAATTTTACAGGCGCGGTAAAAAACTGAATGGCATAACCTACAGTAAGTTTTGGGTGTGGTTTTTAATTTATTAATTTAGTGATTTTAACACTGTTTTAGGCGGTATTGATTGAAAATGACTTAAGGGTCCAATTCAAAGGGCCCAAAAGGGGTTTGTAAAAAAAGTATTGTGGCTAATTCTGTAATTATACCGTTTTGTTCGCCAGCTCCTTATTTGTGAACCTAAATCATTCAGAGATATACTCAATTGCACACAATTTTCCTATTTCAATTTCCCTTGGTGACGTGACGCCATAACTTATAAATGATATATTGATCTTATTTCCTAATACTTGTAGAAGATTCTTACCAACAAAATAATTAAGAAAAATGCTTAGGAAATTTAAGAAAACTTAAATTACAACTTTGACCTATAGTTGGCGCTGCAGTCGGATTTCTTGTATATTTTTATTAAAGACAACGTCTGTTGGGTCTGAGTGAATAGACATATAGTGAGAATGGACTAAGTATTTCCTAGGCAGTGTCAATTAAATCCAAATGCAAACTGCTGAGACCTGGTCCCGTAACATGAGCACCGCGATATGACATATCGCTCGTTTTTATCACACCCGATGGTAGTAATTACTACGGAGTTTGACTATTAGACGCGATAAAAAAGTGAATAATGTAAATTGTGGTGGTCATGCTACGGGGACAGAGCATGATTTTTTGTCAGTCGTATCGTCATCGTCAAATTGAAACGAAAGTTTGTTCTGACGTCCGATAGGGGCGCTGCTTAGCTTTCATAGAAACTTTGACGATGTGATACGATACGGAGCTGTCAAAAATTCGTGCTTGGGCCTCAGAAAGAGAAACGCAGAGTCCATTTTCGCCAAAGAACACCACCACAGTAGAGAGACCTTATATAAGTGGCACTCGCTTGTGCCAAGCTTATGTAATGATACTGCATAAGCCTGTGACTATGTTCTCCCCGTATGCCGCCAACTTTGGTGATTTCGGTCACAAACAAACAATTAGTGATGCGATATATTGTATGTAAGTTCATGGTCATTAACACTATAGTTATCTATGTTATGAGAAGCTTCGGCTGCGATCGTTGAAGTTAGGCAACTTTCGCAGTTGTCGGTAATTGGATGGGTGACCAAAAATTTACTATCTCTAGATCCTCCGTGCTTCAGAAGGCAAGGTTAAGCCGTTGGTCCCGGCTAGGGTTACCATTTAGGAATTTCAAAAGTCCTGACGAAAATCCTGACATTTCGAAAAAACTCGGACTTTTTAGTCACAAAATGGTACCATTACTCACTTAGTTACAATGGTATTGTATTTAAATCAATATGTACATTTTTTATTCATATTCAATGAAATTTAAAAAATCCGGACAAAATAGAGATCCGGACAAAGTCCGGACTAACCCGGACGGATGGTAACCCTAGTCCCGGCTGCATCTGTAGTCGTTAGCACCCACTGTGCCCGCGTGGTGGGTCATGGGTCACGGTGAAATCTCTCTATTCCATCCATGGAGAAGGCGTGTGCCCAAGCAGTGAGGACATTAATAGGCTGATGATGATGAATTTATGTTATTAACGGGACTCTACTGTGAACCTTGTTTTTTCCGAGACTTAGATATTTCTGCACAATGACAAGTGCCATGATCACAGAGTAACAAGAGTTAGTTGAGTAATTCGAACTCTAGTGGGGGTGCTCTAATATTTGACGAGCTGGCGAACAAAACGGTATAACTACGCATATGTTTTTGACCATAATACTTTATTTTTACAGCCCGGAGGTTTTGGGCCAGCTGAATTTGAATTTCAACTCATGTCAATCAAAACCGCCTAAAATAGTGTTAAAATTACTAAATTAAAAATCACGCCAAAAGCTCACAGTATGTTTGTCATTCAATTTTTTACCGCTCCTGTAAAATTTAAATTGATGTAATTATACAGTTTTGTTCGCCAGCTCCACATTTATCCTTGTCTCTATTAAAATTGGACTAGATTAGTATTGAGTTCACGCGGCATGCGCATGCGCAGGAATGGCGGCGTCGCGCGGGAACCAACCACGAGGCGCGCGGTTCCCCCCCTCGCATACTTGTTCCCCGAACAGCCAATGTCTACGCGACAAATTCATTCTTAAGATGATAAACAACTAGCTGTGCCCCGCGGTGTTACCCGCGGTTTATTAGGGATATTTCCCCGCAGTAAAACGTAGACTGTGTTAATCCAGGGTGTCAGCCAAATTTTATTAAAATCGCTCCAGCCGTTTAGACGTGAACAAGTAACAAACATACACACTCACAAACTTTCGCCTTCATAATATTACTGTGATACATGTGTATTGTTAGAGAAGGAGCTCGACGGCGCAAGTGGTTAGTGCATTCGGCTGCGATTGTTGAACTTAAGCAACTTTCGCAGTGGTCGATCATTGGATGGGTGACTAAAAAAATACAATTTCGAGCTACTCCGTGCTTCGGAAGGCACATAAGTCGTTGGTCTCGGCTGCATCTGCAGTCGTTAGCACCCACCAATTCGCACTGACCCGCGTGGTGGGTCGCGGCCCCATCAAATCAAAAGGCCTGTGCCCCACCAGTGGGAACATTAATAGGCTGATGGTGGTGAAAGAGACATCGGATGATGATACTGAAAATATCATTTGGACTTGCTGATAGCTTTGAAAAATAGCTATCTATGCATGAGATGCTGTCCAATATTCATTTATGTTGTGTTCTTTATTATTAGAAATTAATTTTAGGTAAGCGATCGTATAAGTTGAGCAACTTTCGTAATGGTTAGACATCGGGTGGGTGACTAAAAATTTATTGTTTCGAGCTCCTCCATGCTTCATAAGGCCGGTTAAGTCGTTAGTCCCGGCTGCGTCTGCAGTTTTTAGCTTAGCACCCATCTACACAGGGCCCAAGTGAATTGGCCATATTCCATCCTTAGGGAAGGCCTGTGTCCCAGCTGTGGGGACATTAACAGACTAATTAGGCTGATATAGTCTCTTTTGACAAACTTAACTCGACGGATTAATACTTCATCTTTCACAAACATAAGATGTCTTTGAAGTGCGTGGGGAAGTTATCTTTTTTTAAAAGACATACATAAAGAAAATATTACTAGAAAAAAAATCACGCGGACCAGGCTGCAGACGGGACGCGAACTCAAAAAAAAATATATAAAGACATACATATTTTAGTAATAAATCTCAGGACAACAGCGAATTCCTATACACAATAAAATTGAACTTCAATAAGATTGAAAAATCGAGATACAGACCTTCGTTGCCTAGTGACTCGCACCGTGTCTCCAGGCTTCAACACCAGTCTATGCTCATCAGTGCAGGGTGCGTTGAAGGCAGCCTTCGGGTATGTGAGTATAGGCAGCCACCAACCGGAGTACGGCTCGCTGATGCGGTACACGCGGGAACGAAGGCGCTTCTCCAACTTCTGGGCCTGCTGCTCCCGCTGAGGACCATTTGATACTTCAAAAATGGAAAATTTCATCGAAAACTCCGATGTGTTTTAAAAAGCTTCCGTTTTTTTACGAGTAAAACGTTCATCCGTTAATTTTTCAGTTGTTCGCTTATTCGCAAGAGAATCACGTCCATCCGTCACTTGATTCAACACTCGACATACGTATTCGAAATTCGATCATTAAGAAATACTCGCTTAAATGATGTATATTGGTTCTGCGCTAATAACCACTCTAGATCCGTCCGTCACCAAATATCCCAGCCATAACTGTACTAACAACGAATCATTGTAAGCCATCTCTCGATCGTTTATTTTACTCATCACGCCATCCATTCATCAATTGACCAATCATTCATCGCTCATCAGCGCAGGGCGCGTTGATGGCAGCCTTCGGGTATGTGAGTACAGGCGGCCAGCACCCGGAGTACGGCTCGCTGAGCGGTACACGCGGGAACGGAGGCGCTTCTCTAACTTTTGGGCCTGCTGCTATCGCTGCGGACCATTTGATACTTCAAAAATGGAAAATTCCATCGAAAACTCCGATGTGTTTTTCGAATAATAAAACATTCATCCGTTACTTTGTCAATTGTTCTTTTATTCGCAAGAGAATCACCATCCATCCGTCCTTTGGTCCAACACTCGACTTACATATTCGAAATTCGATCATCTAAGAAATACTCGTTTAAGTGATGTATATTGGTTCTGCGCTAATAGCCACTCTACATCCGTCCGTCACCCAATATCCCAGCCACAACTGTACTAACAACGAATCATTGTAACCCATCTCTAGATCGTTCATTTCACTCATCACACCATCCATACATCAGTTGACCAATCATTCATCGCTCATCAGTGCAAAGCGCATTGTACAGTGAGTACAGGCAGCCAGCACCCGGAGTACGGCTCGCTTATGCGATACACCCGAGAACGGAGGCACTTTTCCAACTTCTGGGCTTGCTATTCTCGCAGTGGATCGTTCGTTACTTGAAGTTTATCATAAATTCCAGACACCCCATTCGTCAGTCAAACTCTCATTCATCAATTTATCAGTTGCTCTCCCATTATCAATGGTATCGCCATCCATTCGTAACAACTAGCTGGAGTACGGGTTGCTGATGTGATATGGGCTATTATATATGGGGACAGCTATTGCTGCTTTTTGGCTTTGATTAATTAATGAATTCATTTGAGATGAAGTATTGAGGCGACGGCATTAGGACGGCTGCTCCCAAATGTGGTGGGCCCTGGCGCTAGCTGTCGAAACCTGTCGAAACCTGTACGCGGGGGTGATTAAAAGTATAGCACTGTACGGTGCGCCGGTGTGGGCCGACAGCCTCAGCGCGGTCAACAGAGCAGAGCTCAGAAGACCGCAAAGGCTGGTGGCCATAAGAGCGGCACGGACGTACCGAACAGTGTCATGAGAGGCGGCATGTACCCTCGCCGGGATGCCCCCTGGGACCTGGAAGCACTCGTGGTTGCAGAAGTGTACCAGGGGAGGATCTCGGCGAAGGACAGAGGAGAACGTGCCACAATAGAGGAAATAGTGGGCATACGCAGGGAGGCAGGAGAAGCGCTCATTAGAGGCTGGCAAGAGCAGAACGATCGGGACGATCCACCCGTTATTCCGGGCACGGATGCTTCGGAAAGTATCTGCACCGGATCCAGAGGGAGGCGGACCCCTTATGCCATGAGTGCAGCAATGCCGAGGACACGGCGCAGCACACCCTTGAGATGTGCTCGGCGTGGACTCGGCAGCGCAGTACCCTGGTTGCGTCTGTAGGGAAGGACCCCTCGCTGCCCAGCATGGTCAAAGCCATGCTGGATAGGGACAGGTCCTGGCAGGTGGTGGCAGGGTTGGTCTCTTTCTGCGAAGGAGACTGCGGAGAGAGTCCGCGAGGAAAAAGCCCTCGCGGGCTCTCTCCGCAGCAGTAGGGGAAGGGGAAGGAGAGGTAGGCGCGTACCGCGTACTAGCGCATTTTCGGCGGCCCTGACAAAGGAGATGGCCCGCACAGGGACAATAAGACTAGGTCACGTAGGGACCCTGGGACAGTGAGCACTCCGAGTGCTTAACGCGACTAAACGGTCCTTTTCAGGACCAGGGTAAGAGCATCACTCCACAGTGATATTGATCACTGCGATTAGCGGTAGATGATCAAACGGCCCTTCTTAGGGCCAAGGAGGACGGAAGAGGGACGAAGAGAACTCTCCCTCCCACTCCTGCGAGAGCCGCGGGTCTGCCCTGGGGGACGGGACGGGCTCGCACTGCCATGAGCAGGGAGGAGTCCCACATACCTTCTTATCGCTCTCCCGGTGGTTGAAGGACGCGTAAGGAATTTCCCAGACAAAAAATAAATAAAAAGGGCCTGATAGGCATCTTGATACCGTCGTGTTTGGCCTTCAAGGAATATATCAACGTTTCCTGCCCATTCCATTATCTCAGTTTGTAGGAGTAACTCACAGTCAAGTGGTACTTCCTACAGTCAGGCCTGATAATCCTCAAGCAATATGTCTACGTTACGTCGCCATCTTAGTATGTAGGGGAACTTACTCTTCTGCAAACAGTATCCGATAAAAGACTCACAGTTAAGTCGTACTGCCCGCAGTCAGGCCTGATAGGCCACTTGATGCCGTCGTGTTTGGCTCCGAGCAGCATATCCACGTTTCGTCGCCACCCCAAGTCATAGGGGAATATGAACGGAGGCAGCCCTTGCTCAGCACGACGCCCCGTAGCCTTCTCCACTATCCAGTCTTCTATTGTTGTGCGATTGCGAAGAATACCGCGAACCTATAGACACCGAGACTAAATGTAAGCATTCCACTAGGTCTTAGTGGAATGTTTTTAACATTTAGTAGTGGAAGAGGCTGAGGATAATATCTAAGGCTCACTTACAGAAAATTTGCTAAACTTAATTCAACTAAAAGTAGATGTAGCCTATACAGGAATGTCAAATTGACATTGATGATCGACATTTTTGTACAGGTTAAATCTAGTTTAAGTAAAACCGAGATTTTGCAAAATTGCTGCAAATGGACCCTTAACCTTTCTGTCTTCAACTACAAAATGACAAAAACTAGAATTTAATAACAGTAATTGTCTGACTTAAATGACAAGACAGAGTGTATGATCAAAATAATGTTAATTTAAAGTTAAATCATCAATTATCATAATATTAAGCTAGTTTAACCTCTCTATTGGTATAGCAACAATAAGCAAGTAACTTTTTGTTTAAGAGGTTTTGAAATATGAATGCAAGTGTAATACATTGTAATAAATAATCCAATAATTGTTGTTTACCTACCTGGAAATAGAACAATGCGCCCACAGCGAGCACAACTCCAACAGCCATGCCGATTGCCAACAGAGTGAGAAGTACCATACCCAATGGCATGAGGAGTCGCGCTCCGGTGGCTCCTAAACGCGCTCGTGTTATAGCATAGTACATGCATATTGATAACTCCTGCCAAAATTCAAATAATCCTCAAAACATGTATTCTGCTACCTTAAATATTAATGTTTTCAAGCACAGCTGTAATTTTTGATGTGTATCATCTTTCCTTTCACTTTCCTGCAATTTGTGGGAGTGATTTAGTGAAATGGGACGGAAGTGTGTAACAGGAAGTCGCGAAAGCGCGCGCTATTTGATTTGCTTTTAGAACATAATGTTCAAATGGCTTATTCCTTTTGTAGTAGGTTTTATTTCTTTTTTTACTAATATATGGTAGGTTTCAAATGTTACACATCATATGCGACTACTGTAAGGCTTGCTTGTTTTTTTAATTGTATAAGTGTTACTTCAATTAACTTCTGTAGAAATACCTATTAAATATTTTGATATAGAACAGTAAATTTATACTTAAAGTTTTCTTGGTATTACAAAATAAGCCATTGTAATTGTTAAAAACATTACTTAAAGTAATATACAGTCAAAAGTGTTTGGTACTTTAAAATATTTACCACTGAAGCCATGGAGCAACCAATAACAGCACACATGAGGAATGTCGTAAAGTAGCAATGATTAGCGTGGCCCACACAGCAGTTGATCCAAGGGCAATGGTGGTCCATTTTGAGCACACACTGACCACCTGAAATTTTAATAACAATACTTAAACTGTAGCAAATAATTAATAGGTACTAACTATAGTAAAGGTATACAATATTTAAATTTGGATGTTATATTCGTTATTATAGCTTGACAGAATGGTGGAAAATTTTGATACATGAACTAGATCGAACACTTCATCTGAGATAAAGACGATCTTTTACCAAAAACTGTTCATTGAGGTATGAATTATATAATGAAAGTGTTTTGTAATTTCATTCACCTAAAAGAAAAATGTTGTTAATTTTGATTATTCTTTATGCAATACTTTTTTATCTCGATAATCTATAATCAGAGATCTAGGAGTAATGTTTGACAGTGATTTATTATTTCTAAGCCACTATGTTCATATTATAAAAAGATCATATCAAATATTGGAATTCATATGCAGAAACAATAAATCGTTTAAAAGATCTCATCATATTTAGTACTATATTATGCACTTGTACGGAATTTGCTGGAATACAATTCCGTAATTTGTTCACAGTATCACTTGGTACATATAAACAGACTCAAACAAATTGAAAAGCGTTTTGTGAACTTAGTATGTTTAAGATTTAATTTACGTTGCTCTAACACAGCTTATGAAGACAGATTGTTGAAACTTGGTATGCAGTCGTTGATATTTCGTAGGAAATATTTAGATGAAATGACTCTGCATAAAATTATTAATTCTCAGTTAGGTTCTCCATACCTGCTATCCAATATTAGTTTTAATATTAATTATCACTTTACAAAGCCTATGACATTTTTACTTCCTGTATATCTCAATAAAACTTCTTATTATAACCCTTCATCACGTATATGTCGCCAATATAATGAACTTGTTGTTAATGAAGCAGAAATAGATGTATTTAATTGTAGATCTTTAGTATTTAAGAAGAATCTGTTTGCAAATTTAACCCTTTTGTAATTAATAAATCTATTGCTAGTAATCAATTAAAATATGTAATGGATGTTGCTTAGCATGTCAAGCACTCTGTTTTTATTATTTAGTCTCTCAGTATGTACATATTAAAGGTTACATCCTTGTTTTCTGTGTGATAATGAAGATAATTTTGTACTGAATGTTTGTAACCTGTTTGTACATCAAATAAATAAATAAAAAAAAAACAATACTCACATTTTTTACAATGATGAGACCTAGGAGCTTTGTAACTGTTACATATTGTGCAAAATTGTAAATACTCTGCATCTGCCTCGTTTTCCTAGAAATACAATTATTCAAAAATTTTAACCATAAAACCACTAATAAACAGTACCATAAAAATTTTATAAAAGCATTCACAATGTTTTTCAATTCAACTCAAATTATCAAATTTAATTAATGTCTGTACTCAATTAGTATCTTACTGGTTTCCAACCAACAGGAACAAAACCAGGTCCTTCAAGCAATGACTGAAGAAAATAATATAATGTAGCTGCAGCAAATGCTAAAAACACCACGGCATTGAATGCCCCTCCAATAGATGCGTGTGGCGGCCACCATATACCCAAGAAGTTCACCATAGCCCAAGTAATAAGCTTTATGATGCCTGAAAATGTTAATAAAAATTACCAAATTTTTTCTCTAAGACTGATCAATTCTTCCAGATCTTCAGTAAATATACAAGGAGAATTCAAAATTTAGATCAAGACCATATAAAATTTAAAAAAAAGTAGTAAATTACCTAAAACTGAGATTGGACCCCAATGACAAAGTCTACGTATTGGTGTGGAAGCCATGTTGATAAATTAATACAATAAATGTCCAATATCATACTTTAGATACTTATCAAAAATGCAGCACTTATTACTTATTTCATTTAGAAATACTCGTATTTAAAACTTTGTTTATTCGCAACACATCATTCACAATGACGACTGACATTTATGACTTATGACATACCATGACATGACATTCACACGACCATAGGAACGCGGCGTTTATATCGGCACCGCACCACGGAACAGGTCTCAGTATGGAACAACGTGCGACTATTGTTTATATGTTTATAAGAACAGCTCTAGATCCACAACCTGTTCTCTGAGGGAACAGGCACTTATATATTATAAGATTTTAATCTAGGGTTCCCCAGGGATTTAATCTTGGTCCATTACTGTTTTTAATGTTTATTAATGACTTACTGAATAGGTTTCAATGTTAGTGTTTGAGAGCTTTTGCGGACAACATTAAAGAAATAAAACCATCCTATCTGTTGAAGATTGCATTTCACTTCAAACAAAGGTCCAAACTCTTACTGACTGGTACATTAATAATAATATCTATGTCTTTAAATACCTATTCAGAGATATGGCCATCCATAACATTTCTAAAAAATCTTAAAGAAAAATAATAATTTCCTTACAATATTCTGGATGTTCTGTCGTAAACTATAGACTCTATTCGTGATCTGAGGTTATGGTTTAACTCAAAACTTTCTTTTAGAGTAAATTACAAAACGGTTATCTTGAGACCTAGAAAAGTCCCAAAAAAGTCAAAGTACAATTATTATATATACCTCGCATGTGAGAATCATAAGTATGCTTATTGAATTTCATCAGTATTTCTTCATGTGTTGATAAAGTATTTTGCCCAAGCTTAGTTTGTAACTGAGGTAATGAACAAACCGTTCCTGAACAGCGTCAAACCTGTTTATATGGTTGTCATAACAAAGTGACCACACTGTACAACAATATTCAGGTGAATATTTGTACAGTGTTCTTGTACAGTGTATTCAAGTGGATATTGTCGTGGAAGATGAAAAAGGAAATGGGGTGAATAACGTCTTATAAATCGATGAACACCGGCTGCATGCATGAAAAAGTGTGACGTCCGCGTCATGTTACGAGTCAAGTTATGTGTGCGTGAGGCGGTGGAGGGGTTCCTTCGACCCCCACTTCCCCCCTGTTATTTTGGAACAGGCATTAAACAATGTTATTTGCCTGGAACAAAAACAGATATTTAATGTACTTGTTGCAGGACATCCCTTTAATACAATGATGTCGATTCTGGCATGATCTCCAAACCATGTCCAAACCTAAACTTAAATTTGACAACGGTGTATCCTTGTCATTCTCTATACAGAATTAAAAGGGGAGACCTTGGGGGAGACTGATGTAAAATTTAGTTTTATGTTTAGAGAATCACGCCAGAATCAACACCAATGCCGTGGTAGCAATTCAGTCTCACAGTTTTTTGTTATTCTCTCTCTGTCTCTCCAATTGGAAGGCAAAGGAAAGTATATCATAAATATTTAGCACGAAGCGTGTTAAATTTGACAACTTACTTTTAGTTTCAAGTTTAGAGTATCATGCCGGGATCAACTCCATTATCTATAAGTTAAATGAGGTATGACGCTAACCCTGAACGAGCGCCGACCGCTCTCAAAGTCTACTCATGATTCTCAAAAAAGGAAACCAAAGGAGTATCATTAGCATAGCTTAAATGTGGCTTAAATGATTACTAACCTCGTAATCTTTATTTAGTACCTATACATTTTTTGTGGATAATTAGATTATTAAAACATTAAGTACCAATTTGATCCATGAACTTACCTGTATATGTCAAGTACAACAATATTAAATACCCTAGATACAAAAAGTGCGCTCAAAATGTGTCTCAATCAAGAAGTGCTTGAACGCAACTCAAGCACTTGGTTCACAGTCATGCGCGAACCGTTGAAAAGTCAAGTTGTCTTGTATGTAAAATATTCGTGTTGGTGTATCTAGGCTAGGGTATTTAATATCGTTGGTCAAGTACTAAAAATTTGGACAATGGCAAGGAACGTCCCCCCCAACAGATTTGAAACAAGTGTCATTAAAAGCGTCTAGCAGGATAGATAATTACTTACTATTACGACATACTTAAAATATATGGGGTTATGGTTGTATAAATACTACAAGTGCCATATAGTATCACCCGCATCAAAACAGGGAAATAGTTTAAAGTGAGTCGCCATTAAACGATAGACATATGCTGTCATGGACTTTTTTATAGAACTTCTAATGAAGAACAATTCCGTCACACATATTTTTTGTGTAACTTTCACCATTTACGCAGAGCGCGCAACAGAAGCTCTCCGACGCAATGTTTTTCCCGTATTTGCAACATATGTCATTTATAAATTTGTAAAACCTTTTTTTTTTGCATGGTAATGATCAATGTATTATTTCTGGCAAGAAACAGAGTTCTATTTTTTTCACTATAGCAACCCCTGTTACCACGTCATTCAGCAGGCAGTTGTCACATTGTGATATTTTTGTGGCTCTTTTTAGGGTGTGTGCATTCTTTATGTGTGTTGTGCTACTTATGTGGATTATTAGGTGATATTCTTCTTTCTAACGGGTAAGTGAATAACCAATTGATTCAATTATATATCACCACAAGTTTTGTCACATACCGTTTGACTACTCCCTCCGATTTCTACCTATCAATTTCTCCGTGCCGCCGGTGGCTGTAATTTTATTGTAATTGTTTGATAATGGTTAATTTATCCCCTAAAAATCTTTATGAGGGGCTAAAACAAATAAACACATTGAAATATTATTAATTTCCATCACTATTTCACTTGCTATATCACGCGGTGTAGAAAATTATCAACCAGTAGTTTGTCGTATAAATTATGTAAATTTTGTCATAAGTAATTTTCTAATTGGTTTCAGATAGTTATCCCAAACCGTCATCATGCCGAAATCAGTAAGTAGTAGACGATTGTTTATTTTTTAAGGACATTTACAAAGGTGGCGCGCGTCATTAGGGTAGACAGAATGCATTTGATCGTGCCAGCGTCATTTTGCTGATTTCACCTTGGTAATGTGATCAGATGACATAGTTGTGAATATCCCAACAAAATCAGGAAAGAAGTTTTTTTTAAACACACTTTCTTAGTAATAATTTATTTGACTGCAAATTAATTCACCGGTGAGTTCCATTTAAAAAAGTTAAAGTGTGTAGATAAGTGTGTTGTAACATTATTATGGGTTATCACTCAGAACTTAGAAGATAAGATGCATTATTGATATAAAATATATTTGTTTTTTTAAATTATGGTACTCTCTATCTATTGGACTATTTATGTTTACATTATTTATGATTTACTTGGCATCCTGGTTTATTGATAACATCATTACACTTCCTCTTTTCCACAATTAGTCACAGAAAAAAACAAATAGGTAGCTAAAATGATTCATTCAATGAGATAAAAGCACAAAATTTTAGATTTTCATATGTTTATAGTAAAGCATTATAATATAAGATCTACATAGATTCAAGCATTATATTTTCAGATACATTTAAGCACACACTGGTGTCGATTCTGACATGATTCTCTTAATCTAAACTTAAATTCGACAACAGTGTATCCTTGTCATTCTTTATACAGAATGAAAAGGCGAGACTGATGTTTTAATTAGTTTTAAGTTTAGAGAATCAGTCCAGAATCGACACTACTGTTGTCAAATACCAGAAAAATGCTATATTCTGACAATTTTTATGTTAAGTAATGTATTTTTATTACAGATTATGAATTACATTACCAACGCACTTGATATGAATACTGGTAACAATGAGTTGGTTAGTTGCGTTTGCAATTTTGACAGTGTGTTTGATTTTATCAGCTGCTATTTTATATGTCCTTATGTTATTTGATGATTTTAGCATGGTTTTCCTGCTAGTAATAGCTGCATATTTTCACAATAACACTACAATTAGTGTTATTGTGAAAATATGCATATACACATAAGCACAACATGTGTAAAAATGTTGAGCTTAAGTTCACTTAATTATTGTTTTTTGATAGCATTGTTATTGCTGGTCCCTGATTTTTCCCACCCAATCATCATTTAGTATTTTTTTCTTTTTTAATTATGTGATGTGCATGATATTTTTTTGGTGTTTTTATTCTTTAAAATTTTTTTTTTCATGTTTTATTATTTCAAACTCACGGAATAAAGTATGTGAAACACCTAATCAAAAAAATCTTGAATAGTATAATTAATATACACTATGTCTAATCGAAATGGTGACTTGGTTGAAGACCATCAGAAGATTCACAGGTTTTGCCAAAAATAAAATCCAACTTCATAAAAATAAGTCAATATAGACTTTGTCTGCAACCTGCATGGATGTGTTGGTTTCTGGCCTATAACCATCTCCAGTGTCCCATATATCTCAGTACAAGAGTCTGTGAGAGTATAACAAACAAACTGACTTTTGTATTTATAATATTACTTACAATATAAAACTAAAGTAGGTACATTTAGTGTGAAATGCACCACAGAGCCAGTTAAAGTTAAATTTTACTCTAATTTTAACCGTCTCCCTTAGATAGTTATTGTCACTGACAAATTATGACCTCATTTTGACTATAGTCAAATGGTGCAACCTATTTTTTACTTAAGCGGTAAAGTTAAAGTAAATTAGTGCAACTCACATATAAAGTTATTCTATTCATTAATGCTCAAAATAATACTTACTGTAATAATGGATCATATCAATTTCAATATAATTTTTGGGATCAATGGTTAACCAAATATTTTAGAAAACAAAAGCAGAATATATTATATTTGATATTTGGCTAATGAAGTTGGATTGTATAGGAAAGTTAATATTTTTTTCTGCCTTAAGATGTAGCTAACTTATAAAGCTCTACACTACACCACAGAACCATGTAGGTTGAACTTATATTTAGGTTTAATTACATCACGTCACATGATATTTTAAGAAATGTAAAAAATCCAGAAACTTTTAAATACCACAGTAATATATTTTTTTACTGTTTCCTAAGTACTTTTTCATGTTTAGTATTGACTAGTAAGTCGGGTGTAAGACAAAAGGTTTCCGAAGGAAGCTCGAAAGTGGGCCACTTGTTATCTGGTTACTGGGCGGTGCATTCGCGCACTGCGACATTATGAAATTCACATTCATCCACCCTCGCAACCTTTGAGTTGATTATGTAAATCAATAATGTTCGCTGGGAAGTTTACAAACTTGTAGGAAGGGTTACACATTGTCAGTGACATTGTCTCTATGCTAACCAGGGGGCCAATCGCCTAACGGGATTGCTATAGCTGTTGCTTACGATTTCATTTTGTTATTTTTGACCCGCGAAGGTTTTCAAATGCCTCGCCCTCTTATTTTTCTTTTGCATTGATCATAGCAATATTAAAGAAAATCAGCGTGAGGCATTTGAAAACCTTCGGCGGTCAGAAATAACAAAATGAAATCGTAATCGATAGCCATAGCAATCACGCTAGGCAATTGGCCCTCTAAACTGCTTTCTATTCTATTAATTTTAAAAAATATCGTACAGTACAGTTTATTCCTTACAAACGACGCATTTTTTTCTTTTCGTTTTAAATTCATACGCTGATTAAAAAAAAAAATTACTTATTGTAATTTCAATATTCACTTCACATATTTTTATTATAAGACCGCAGAAAGAAAGAATAATTCAAACATAATATGAAATATACAACGTTTATATTCAAATGATTGAATTTTCAAATTTTTGTTACCTGGTAAATTTACTGTTTGTCTCAGCAAACCTGCTTAACGGATCTTCATTCTTCTGAAGGTTACTAAAATGCTGAATTTATTTGTACAACTACAATTTACTTATGGTGTAGGTACTACCGCAGCTATTGCACGACTCAGATTGTGTGTATAGATCACGATTTAATTTAGCGACCAACGAATACGTAAAAAAAGATAGCGAAAACGAAGGCTGGGTGCGCGCGCGCCGCCGCCGCCGCCTCGGCCTTGAGCACGGGGCGCATCCCCGCGGCCGCGACCGTTCAGTTCAAACTCTACCGCCGCGTCCGGCAGACGCGGCTTCGGTGTCGACAACCCTTTACCCCTCTTAACCCAGTGTTTGTGCTCCCTGTGCGTGTGACCTTTGAACCAGTCAAAATGGTTGCCGGCGGAAAACAGGTATATTACACAACATATCAACGCTCAGGTGCCAGAACTGTGTTGCCCTTTGTTCCATCTCCACCTATTTAAGACATCAAATCATAATCATCAAAACTTTATGAGATTTCTTCAAATGCACTTTCGAAATACTGGAAATTCAATAACTGTGAAGCTTATCAGTATGTCTGAGTACATTATAACACCTGCGCCAGCCGCAGCTTACCTAGCAACAGGTCTACATAATCGTCAAACGAATAAATTACTTGTACAAGTTTTTAGCGCTGTTGACTTAAATCATAAGTCTCGGTGATGTCATCGCGGCGTACATCTTAGTTGGTTTCGCTTCTTGCCTTATTATTTATTTTGCATGGTTCAAACGGCCGTAACGTCTTTCGATTGCCCTTCTCTTATTATACCCATCTATTAGAACGAGACGGAATGTTTTTCCTGTTTCGCCGACACGGGAGTCCCTCACTTTCGCTTTCGTTTTGAATCAAATCGCAGAAAGCTCTTTTATTTAAACTTCCTAACCATATCATTTTCCACATTTTTTTTATATCATGCCATTATCATTATCTGCAGATAATGGTAGTATAATGTACGAAACGTAAAATTTGTTATATCTTATCGTTATGGTTACTATATAATATAATAATCAAATTAGAATGTTTGAATTTGCAGAAATCATGGCTTAAATAATGTGACTAAACTCAACTAAAATATGGCAAACAACTACATCCCTCCAATGCATGCTGCAATTATTTTAAATAGACACTTACGCCATACCAATAAATATACCCTCTACTGCGGTTAGGTTCTGACTTTATTACGTTTTCATGTGCTTTTTTCCTGTACCTACCTCGGTTATCCTTAATTATTGTAGTCGCCAATACGATTATCTATACTATTTCAATAACGATTATCTTCAAACCATTTACTTGACGATTTGTGATTGTATAATATTATCATGATGTTCATCGCTGATTATGCTTCCATGTTTTCTGTCCATTGAACATCATGCAATACAAACCTCTCAAAACATGTAGCATGAATTTATATAATGATCTAAGTTGACTAATTACACGACATTTTCTAGTCTATGATGGATTTCCAGGTCTCGATGGTTGATCCTTTCCTTTATCGACTTTGATTTAACAACACCATCAGAACTTAAAGGAAACATTGCAGTTCACATAAATACAATTCACTTATCAAAGAACTGCCTGAAACCGAGTTGATTATCACACACTATCATAGGCTAGACACCAGCTTTCTTTAGTCCGTCTCAATTATAATCTAGCGTTTTTTTATATATTAAATATATAGATATACTAGCTGACTCGGCGAACTTCGTACCGCCCAAAAGTAATAATTTGCAATAAATTAAAATTGCGACTATAATTTGAGATTTAAACTATCCTATCTCTCAAGTTGGATCGAACTGCACATGGTGTGCGAATTTTATTATAATCGGTTCAGTGGTTTAGGAGTCCATTGAGGACAAACATTGTGACACGAGATTTATATATATTAAGATAGATAATGAATCAAAGGTAACTAAAAAATTAATTGCATTCAAATTGCGCCTTTTCACCCCTCGACCTCATTGTACATTCTTACATTTGTTATCTTTTGAATTTACTACGTTTCATCATCATGATCATCAGTCTATTATTGTCCCCACTGCTGGGGCACAAACCTCCCTTTGGATGGAATAGGTGAACCCTACGATGTTACTACGTTGAGTAGGATTCTATTGCTATTTTTGATGCTGCAATCGCAAAAGCATTATTCATTCACAATGATGCATGGCATGACATTCGTGACATTGCGCGGCACCCGTACTTGGCATTAATTTGACGGTCGATATGCTCTGTGCCCATCTAGAGCCGTTTCACTTCGTTTCACTCACACATCGCGATTTCTAACACAATAGTTGGGCGCATTTCTTTTTCTATCAGCACTGGAACTTCGACAGGTTTTACTTTTTAAAATATTGTTACGAGACGCTCTTGACGGAGTTGTCGTTTCACGCATCTGAAGTTGTGTACTGGAACGCTTATCTCGCTATCTTCGTTGTTCACTAGGTTTATTTTGTTGTAACTAATGGACTGAATCTTACAAATAATGTCCTTTCGTCTTCTTGGGATTCCTTTTAGCAATTGGAGGAAATGTTCTATTTTTTAAGAATACTTTGAACCTAATACGCACCCCTCTGGAATAATCAAGTCGGACGCAACACGTGTCGACCAATAACACCTGTCACCTTGCACCTGCGCGGCAGTTGCATTCAACCCCCAATTTCCGAAAAACCGAACATACGTTTTTTCCTAGTTTATCTAATCCCAATCCCTGCATTATTAAAAAGTTCATTTAGTTTTGTGGGTATATTTATATAGAGTTTAATGGGTATATTCTCATCATGAATTATTTTGATTATCCACTTTTATGATGTTTATTTACAATTAATTGGTTTTGTTAGTGCTGGTAATATTGAAACATCTATAGTTTCATAATATATGTTCCATGTCTAACAATGTAATTATGGTGGATGGTTCAGCTACAAATTGCAGGCTTAGATGCTGAACATGAAAATGGTCACGTAATTGTTGCACTACCAGCCTTGGACGCATGCACTTCATCATCCGTCTTCCTGCTTACTGAAGTAAATTGTTTCTCACAATATTATGTACTGTAATCTCGGTAAATATGCAGACAATCAGTATTGGTTGTTGTAAACAAGCTCTCTGCAATATATTAAAAAAAATATGTGTCCTCTGACTTGTGGTGATTTAAGAAAATAACGATTTTTGTCAAGTGGAATCCAATATTGAATAATGCTGCAAAGTAATCTCAAGCTCAGATTACATAATACTAGTGTTTCAAGATTACTTTAGTTATATCAAAAAAACTCAATATGAATTACCAGAAACCGGTAATAATCATTTATTATGTCATTATTACTAAGTTTTATGTAACTTACAAAAGCTTAGATAATAAAGTATATTTGTTGAGTTGACTGTCCTGATATAGTACGAGTTTCTCAAACTCTAGTTAAATTCGGCATGTTATGTTGTGATGCAAGATACAAGCTAGCAGCAACATAGATTTTTTATGGTTTCAACCTAGATACTTCAAAATTCTATATGGTGCATTACTTATCACTCTGAAAAGATATCCTAATGCTCAGAAAATACACTTGAACATTAGTTGCCGTTTGACTTACCTGAAACCATATTTATATTGTGTTGCTAATGCGTGTTTAGTACAACTCTAACCACACAAGGACATTTCAATTTATTTTACCTACCGTTTTAGTCCCTTGAATGTAATATCAGATTTTATATATTTCCTGTTTTTGGTTAGAATAAACTGTTTATAATTGTTAATGATTTTATATTTTTTTACCGAGAACGACAACACGTGACCGTGACACTCCGGATAGTTCTTCTTCAACTGACTCAATGAATTCTGAAACCTTCGTACTATCAGCATTTGCTACTGGTACTCAACTACCAGTATCTGTAGAATTAAGTGTTACTTCCGAATTGAATATGGATGATGGACTAAACTTAACACTTTCTTACAGTTGGTCGCTATACTAAGTTATATTTTTACTGCGACCTTGTCCCCATACGATTTCCCTTGACACTATGGCGCAACCAGTTCAAACATTGTTTTCCGACATAAGTTGTCATCTCTATTTATCATTTTAATGATCTTCAAGAGCTAGTTGGTTCATTAAAATTATTATTACTTCCCCAAAATGTGCCGTTTTGGTAAAACATTTTAAGAAGCACCTTTGCTTAATAAGAATACAATAATAATTATAAACATACAAATTATTCATTGGTTCAAAATAATTAGCTTAAATCAGTCCCATACTTAAGTGGCACGCACTTCTCTGCTTACTTCTTCAGCAATTGAGTTTTTGATGGATGATATTAAATGTTATCCTATGGAGTTGCTATTCTCTTAGTATCTTAAATTGTAGTAAATTTTTTGCCAATGCCTCTTGCTGTGTCATTGTCGTTTACGATATTATGTACGACGTGTAAATTGTTTACAATAAATAGGCTCACACTTGACCCCACCTTGCCTAAAGCCAGATCCAGAAGCTAAGTGCTTAGTATGAGCTACAAAATTTAACTAAACATATTTAAGGGACAAGGCACTAATGTTTCTCTCAATAATGTTTTCATCATTTTTGTTGAATACTGCTGTCCGTTTCGCATTCATTTGAAACTGATGTTTTATAATAATAAAATTCTACCAATAAATTTCATTCATATTTTACAAACTATTATTTGTAATGAATTTCTATTTACCTCAATGAATACACACAAATCCCAGTCTGCAATCTCTTTCGTGCGTGCCTCTATTGGTAGTTTTTGCTTCTTTATCGAAATTTCGTTCAGATAGTGTCGTAGTTGAAAAATTAGAGAGAGAGAAGAATAAGCTAATAGTTGTAGAAACATCCGCTGCGATAACGCTGCCTGTCGCGCTTATCGCGAATTAGAGTTTCTCGCTCGTTAATAATCAGGGACGTCGACACTCAAATCCAATGAGTTGCTATTGCTACTTTCTCTCATTGTGTCATATATTTACCTTCATTCTTAGTATTATGTAAGATGTGCCTGTGAAAATTGTTTATACTATTCTTTACTCTTAAGTTCACCTTTGATGCTATGCCCATCCTGCAAAGGATATATAGCGCGAAGGTATGTTTAGGATTTCTTTTAAGTACTCGTAGATAAATTAATTACTATAAAACTGAAAAGTATTTTCCCTGTTTTGTAATTCATTAAAATGTTTCTTGATTCCATCAGCCTTATCTTGATTAATATAAAAAAAATCTCTGAAGGTTCTCTATGACAAAGCCGGTTATTTACTGATGACGCTACCTCGTGACGCATGATGCGTGTAATCGTGACCTCAGTGCTTATATTAATGTGTTATTAATATTATGCAGAAACAGTAGGCATTAAAAATTTATCGTTAAATTGTTTGAGGAGATATTTTTTCTTCACGTATAAATATTTGTATTACACTTTCATTGCTTATTTGAATGAAAATAAATATTATTCATAATAATACTAGGCGATTTAAAAGTAAATCAGAGGGAAACTAATATACCTTGTTATGCTGCTCATTATTTGGATGACAATCAATAGGCTCTTTGACGTATTTTGAGCTTTTACTACAATATAAGGTACCTTTGAAGTACATATAGCAAGCGTTCGTTACTTTTCCATGACAAACATAATAACTCAAATTATTGATAAACATCAACAATTAAGCGAGTTGTCGGCTACAAATACCATAATGTTTGAAAATTTGAGAATAATGTTAGGTATAATATCATGTTGCATCATTGTTCAACCCTTTTATGACTTTTAATGAAGAATTACTATGAGTCGTTTGTTTTAATAGCAAAATGTATGTTAATAACTACCAGCCTCGTTCGCTTTAAAGTTAAACCAAGTAACTGCATTACTGTATACAAACGCTCTTCGCTTTTACCTTCGTTTTTTCTCTTTAATGCCACTTAGCAGTCATGATAGCATGCGGGCAAGTTGATAAGTTTAATGGGGAGAATCAAGGCGATGTCGACCTCGATAATAGCATGAATGAATGCATCATCGTGGTACTATACGCCCATTGTTAACAGCATCCCAAAGATAAAATCTCATGACATGATTCTATTCTTAATAATACTTAGTCATCTTCCATAAGGCTTAATGTAAGTACCTGAATACTATGCCTACCCTAAATATGTTACGTTCTAAAACAACGTCATAATATGTAGTCAAATTATTGTGAATTTTGTGAGTAAATAGTAGCGTTACTCTATAGTAGGCATACGTATGATTTTATACCGATGGATGACATAATCACCCCCGGAAGATCGCATCCGCTTGGCACCGACCCAAGTACAACAGCATCGTGTAATTTTAGATCCAAACACAACTGTCTCGTACTTTTCTATTTTCGTTTGTCGCTTCTCGTTTTTATTGTCATTCACTTTCTATTAGACGGAGAGTGGTTATTGCTTTGATTTAGCTTCTTGATTTGCGCTCACGTCTAGACTTAGTTTTCTATTAGTAAACTTGAAAGTACCAAGTACCTATCTTGTCTGCTTCTAACTTCTTTAATGACTCCTACAATTTATTGGCTAGAACGGCTAGATAATTTGGATTAAGTTCTGTTGCTACATAGATTTAATTACACATGTTTGTACGTTGAATTGGTTTGTAGTAAATATTGTTTTATTATGCTACGTTGATTAGATTCTGATTCGCTCGTGTCGTCCATCCGTGTCTTCGCTTCCGTCCACATCGCGTTTCGTGAATCACGTAGTCTGAAACTCGAATGACTCTCAATAATATTTATTGACTTGAACAATAGATACTCAGATTATCTGTCGTACATGGCGTCCAATTCTAATCGTCACATACCAATCATTTACAATTTTATTAATCATCGTTGTATATTTAATCCTTTTGGTTTTGAAATTTCTTTGTCATCGCATAAAACGTAAACTTATAGTACCCAGAAGGCCAGAATAGTAATGTAACCCACTTTACCTTTAACTCTATTCAAATACGTTGTGATCTGGCTTCATGCAAGTAAAATTTTGCCGCCAACACAATGCACTTTGTGTCCTTTGTGCAAGTTTCTTCGCCATATTCGTCCTAAGGTCGTACTTTTGCGGCCGGCTGTAAGGTCACACTTCAGAATTAATATTTACAATGTATTGTATGTAGCAATGTAATTTCAAACGTGTTACTATGCTATTGAAATACATTTATAACTGTGTCATTATGTGTATTTTATTAATATAACCCTTATATTGTTAACATAGTAATTTCATAATAATATTGTAACGATCAATTCGTGACTTAAAACATTGAATATTCTATTTTGCGTATAAATAGTTTTATTTATATTCTCTCATCATTTTGATTGTTTGCTACAATACGAATGTGGTGCTTAATGCATCCTATATTAGTGCTACGAAATTCTGCTGTAAAACCACTTTGCCTTTTTATGTCCCTTCTTTTAATATCATTTTATGTGAGCAAGAATATAAACCAACTCTCGCTAATAACAGCGCAGCGTCATTTTTCTTATCATCATTTAGTAATTTAATTTTATTAAATTTTTATGAACTAAGAACATTGTGATGTCGATTCTGGCATGATTCTCTAAACCTATTAATTTTGACAACTGTGTATCCTTGTCATTCTCTATACAAAATGGAAAAGAGAGACCGATTAAGTTTAAATTTAGTTTCAAGTTTAAAGAATCATGCCGGAATCTACATCAGTGTCTAAGTTACTGCTAAAAATATGCCTCCTATGTTTTAGTATTTCGTATTCTCACACTCACAAGTATGTGTTATTTCTAAATATTTATAGCACTTTATGTAAGTTATGTTTTAATTTTAAATGCGGAATGGATGCTAGTGTTTTTAACATACCCCTCTATTTACAGATGAACGTCCGCGTGACGACGATGGACGCGGAGCTGGAGTTCGCGATCCAGCAGACGACCACTGGCAAACAGCTGTTTGACCAGGTGGTGAAGACCATCGGACTGCGCGAGGTGTGGTTCTTCGGCCTGCAATACACCGACTCCAAGGGCGATCTCACCTGGATCAAGCTCTACAAGAAGGTTAGTAGCGTGACTAACCCTATTCTTCACTATAAGAACGGCGCGAGTGCAATAGCAGTTGGAGAAAGCACCTATTCTATAGAGTAGGCTATGGCGGCCGCTTAAAGTCTGGCGGGCCATATGCATGTTTGCCTCTTTTAGAGCATATTCTAAGGTGCCACGCTTTTAACCTTAAAAAATACTGTAACGTCTATTAACTAAAATATATCGAAACAATTTAAAAAAACTACCACTGGTTACTGAAGAGGAAACAAAGTTCAAGACATACTTAAATTATTCACTGCAAATTTCGGTATCTTTATAAGTACAGTGTGGGAGTGAGTAGGACTTTGCGAATCTATTAATTTTGTAATGTTTAGCGATGTTGTCGGAGTTACATTGTGAACGCGCCGGCACGATGCACGATGTAACGATTTATTTTTAGCGGAACCAATGCGCCGAGCGGCGGCGCCGACCAAGTTCAAGTTTGTTTTGTTAGTTGCTTTTTTAATATTTGCGATCAAATGATAACTGGCAAAGTGTTCAGTTGTATTATTGCAACTAAGTGTTTGTCTTTTATCGCTGTGTGGGAAAATTGTGTTTCACGAATTGCAATAAACATTTGGTTTTGAGTTAATGGTTTTATATTTTGCGTATCTTAGTTTCTTTTTCTTTATTTTAGTAAAGAGGGTTTAATCAGATTGATTTTGTCACCCTTGAAGATCAGAGTATCTTAGTTGTTTGGTTTTATAACAATGGTTTTTCTTGTCCGTAGAGGCATTCTGAGTCATGCAGCCCTTTACAATTTGCACCTTCCTAAAGTAAACTTCCTCAAGCAAAACGCTGCCTTGACAAACATACAATTCTCATTGAATTCGGCTCGCGTTTCCGTCGCGTTGCCTCCTCACCCATGAACACAATTCTGTGAAATTGTTTTCCTCGCTGACCGTCGACATTGACCTGTTAACGCAATGTCGCCAGATAATGATTTCAAGTTCTATCAGTAAGGACGACCGGTCCGATTCGGCTAATTAATATTCTGAAAATGTGATAGTCGTATTCATGGCGGGTTCCCTCTATCTGACAGAATCTCTTTGCTCCTAAATTTATATTTATATTAAATTAGTAAATATGATTCTGGCTTACAAAATTATGCGTTTCAATGTCTGCTAAATGAGTGAAAATTATTTTCTGCGAAACGATGTTGACGCCGTCGACTGATAAGCATATTATTATTATGACATTAAAAGTTCTGTGGTACAAGGTAGACCCATATGGCATGAAGTTGACTAATGTCACATCACGTCTCACACTGATCATGCTTGATTGATGTCTATCTTTTCCACTTTGTATTTTATCCTTGTCTTGTCTTTGAACGACGCGTAATATCAAGTAAGGCCTAACAGGCTATCAAAAACTCCTGCTTCCGTTTTATCAAGAAAAAAGTACCTACACGTTATCTGAAGATGGTTTTGCGTCATCAGATGTTTATGAAAAGTGAGCGTTTCTGGCACACGACTGTGATTAGACAGATGTACGTTTAGCCAATATATCTGATACAATGTATCTTTAGAGATTTTCCAAGAACATAAAGATCGATGGTTCATAATTTGGCAAATGCACTAATCTCGATGGATGCTCTATGAATGAATAGTTAAACCTATGAATCCAGAGGTTTAAGCACGGAACTTTTTACAGCGCCGTAGCGTATCGTCATCGTCAAATTTTGTATAGCTAGTTTGTCCTTACTTCCGGTAGGGGTGCTGCTTAATTTTCATTGAAACTGACATTGCGATACGTTACGGAGCTCTCAAAAATTTCAGAGTTACCGTTTTGTGGGTTTCTGCGATTGTCCTTTTACCAGACGAGCTTTTTTTAATTGACTTAGGTAGTTTACTTTCAGTTTTTATTTTGAACAGGCACTTCGTCGATAACTAGGATTTTATAAGTGCTCCGTAGATGTATTTTATAAGTCCTTCTGATTCGTACACACTTTTCTGCATTTACCAGTAGTCTAATAAATAAAAACCCTGGTCTGATTCACGCAGGGTTTTTAGTTCGTTCTCGTAACTATACTAAAAGACCCAACAGCAGAATCGCGGAATAGATTAGTTTTTTTTGTGTTATGTATTTCAGGTGTGTTGTTTTCCCTACTACAATAAATAGTAACGTAATCAATAAATATGTGGTTCAATTTTACTGTTCATTGATTTCTCTGGAAAACTGATAGTAGTGACGTCACTGTAATCTTACACAAACAATTACTGTCATTCATCACAGATAGCTGCTAAATGGAATTCCATGAACTAGTGATAACCATGAAATTCTGAAATCTCTGTCTGTGCCCGATTAGGATCGTAAAAAGTTCCATTAATTTATCATAATATTTATATCCAGTTTTAATCGTACAATTTGTTAGACTAAAACAAGTTTATTTTAACAAAAATAGATGCTATTGATTTATGAAGATCTTTGCTACCTGCTTTGTTTCTATTGTATATATTGTAAATATTAAAAATGACCAAACATTTGAATAAGATGAATTTTAAGTGAACACTGTTCTTTAGTGCTAATTTATTGTGCTAAGCGCTAATACTGGGAGTCTTAGAAACGTATATTATATGAAAGGGTTGCAGTTTAAATATGCATTTAGTAATTTATTCTTAAAATATTCGTTCACGTCCTCCATGGTCAACTTTGTTAGCTGTTATGTACGTCTGTTTCAGACTACGTGTCTCTACTAATAATTCCCCCCAGAAATTTCTTAAATTCTGTGCAGACATTAATGAACAAATACCATGTATTGCCCGATTTTGATTGGTTACTGTTTTCTTAATGTCTGCAAGCATTTTGCCACGTGCCGAGTGGTGTAAATAAACAAGTCCATTGAGCGTCGTTACTACATAGATAGTCATGATACGGGTGTTCATGTTGATAAAACTGAAGGAGCTAATTAGCAAACTATTCGCAAGGCAAGACTTCGTAAACGCCTCTGGTTTGGGTGAAAAGCTAATGATGGACACTCACTATCATGCCGCTTGAACGAATAGGCTTAATTTAGTCGAAATCTTTACGTCAAGTGGCATGTCCTTCCAAAAAGTCTCCCCACATAGAGTCAGTTTGGCTTGATCAAGCGGCAGGTTGACGCGTGGCCTTCACTATGCCCATTTTTGATGAATTGGAAGACATTAACGCGTTTTAAAGATTTGGAACGAGATTTTATGTCGAATCGCTTTGAATTTGTCTACATTTAGATTTCTTCTCAGAAGCAAAACTAACAGCAGTGAAGCATGAATACACAGTTATGTAATAGACAACATGAGACGAAGTAGTATATGGATAGAACGACATTTGTTTTTAAGAAGTTACTTGGATGTGTTGAGGTAGTTGTAGGCCGACAAAAAGTAAAATATTTTTATTAGTTTTTAATTTAGGGAGGGGAAATCTAAACAAAACATGGATAGTATGTTGATAGCTGAATCTGCAGTCATTAGCACCCGCCAATCCACACTGGGCCCGCGTGGTGGGTCATGGCCCAATCTCCCTATTCCATCCATAGGGAAGACCTGTTCCCCAGCAGTGGAGACATTAATAGGCTGATAAAGATGATATTGATAGTAGAATTCTAAAAATCTACTATATAAAAATAAGTCGGGTTTTCCTTCCTGACGCTATAACTCCAGAACGCACGAACCGATTTCCACGGTTTTGCATTCGTTGGAAAGGTCTCGGGCTCCGTGAGGTTTATAGCAAAGAAAATTCAGGAAAAATTTCAAAAAAAAAATTCTTTTAATCACCAAACGAAATGTTACATAAAACGAAGCCATCTGGTGGCGAAACGGAGTTCGCCGGGTTTGCTAGTAGTATATAAAAAGACATAAGTACTGATTATTAAGTACTTATGTCTTTAACCATATAAGCATTGAATCTAAGCAAAGGGGACAGGGAATACGGTGGTAAGTGAATTATTGTGTGTTCTAAGAAATCTAGTCCGAAATTCAAAAACATCCTAAATGCATTATGGACTTTGAAGCTGTTATCGAACACGTGATTCATATGGCTGGCTGTATAATATATCTTATTCCATTTGCAGAAGCTATTTTTGTGGGCCTATCGCATGAGTCAGCGGCAGTTAGGTGCGTGAGCGAACGTCTTTTGCATTTAACCTTATCGAGTTTACTTAAACGAGATCAAAGTTTTTTTTGCAATTATGTAAAAACTAGCTTAACACATCCTGGAATATGTTATGAAAAGCAATCAAAGCTCATTTCTGATTTTAATCATACTTTAACTGTACATGTACTCGTATAAAAAACTTGCCGAGATTTTTTGTCTGGTATGAAAATAACTTCCTCTTTTAAAAAGTTGTTTTAATTAGATATTTGTCCACATTTTGGTTGTTAGAGGAAAAATATAAATAAACAGAAGAGGCCTTCTAACTACATTTATATAAATAAATTATCTATATTGTTAATTTTTATATAATGTACATTCTCGTACATATTGGATGACAAAGCGAAGCTGTATTGATATCATGAAGAACTGTCTCAAGCACATTTTAAGACATTAATTATGTAGACACACTTAACGTTTTTGAATTAATTAATTGTAAAAACGTTGAGGAGCTACGACAAACATCTGAAGTTATTTCGTCAGTTCTTTTTAAACAGGTCTCCTGATTTGGCATGGCACTACTAGTTGAAAATTAGGAGGTAGTTACTTACATGGTATTTAGGGCATTGAAATCCTCTCTGAATTATTTTTTTGTATTACACAATTGCACGCAAATATAATAGTGCACCATAAAGACATTACTCATATATTATATGAATTTTCAGATTAGTAAACTGATATTTTGAATTATTCTGTTGCATATTATGAGAAATTAATTTTTCTTTCAGATACTTTTTAATTCGAAGAGCTAGCTTATGTATTTTCAAAGTTAAGGAAAATTTTAATAGTAAAAATTCCACGCGATTAAATTTTTTATTAGTTTTATAATTTGTAGCAGCTTAAAATAA